TACTAAATTACATATTAAAAATTTCTTTAAGACTTGGAGAAACTCCACACTTGAATTTAAGTTATTGGAAACTGTTTAAAGAAATATTAGAAAAGATTAGTGATTGTTCTATACCGTCACCTGTATACAAATTACCTTTGATCTCTATATTTTCCAGTGTAGTTGACTATTTAGCATCATTGAAGTCAATAAATAACTACGACCTAGATGATCTGGTTGAAATAGTTGACACCTGTTTTCATAAACTTACAAAAGAAAAGCCTACTATTTTCAGGCCACCAATTGATCAACTAGTTACATTAGCACTAAATGCTTGCAATTTAATCACAGTTATGAATGATACTTGTGATTATTATGCGATAAACGTTGAGAATGAGCAATCCCGAGCAATTATTTTGCGATTTAAGCTATTTGCAAAAATTGGCTCATTTTTGGAGAGCAGTTTGATAAAAAGTTCAAATCCAAAAAAGGTAAATATAATATCACTTCTGTTCAATTCATTATGAAAACATAAATAATTTATTACTACGAACCAACAAGGCATACAACGTGCTTAACGGAAAAATGTTTAGAAAGCTTCTTCATGTCCGTTCCTTTGTATTTCACCTCAAATCGTCAGAGCAACAAGAAGGAGTCATATTCAGCAAAATTATCAAAATGATTGACAACATTTTTCGATATGGACTTTTTCAACAAGATCATATAATAGAAATTAGATTTAGTAGTATTTATATTTGCTCAATAGTATACTTATATAAGTTTTCTATTCTTAGAAAATTTTAATTAATATTTTATACTAGACTCTTTATAGTATAGAATTATTAGCTTATATATATATATTTTTTTCTTAAGTGATCTTGCTTTTCATTTATTAAGAGAAAACATAAAATATGTTATAGCAAAATTATAAACCAAATAAAACTTGCTATAAAACTACCCTCTTGACTTAAATCTAAACTCACTCAGCTACTTAAAGTACCTAAGTGTAATCTGTTACAATAACAAATTTTCCTCTCAAAAGAGTAGAATGTCTAAATAGGGTCTTACTCTAAAGATCTACAGAAGGTTGCTATGCATCTGTATTAAAATTGTCTAATTGTTTTTGAAACTTAACCAACTATCCTTAGTTCCTCCTTCAATCTATCTTATAACTTTACTTTTAGCTTCTTTCTGAATTCTTGTTTCTTTATCCTATTCTAGTTCTATAACTTCTTTTCTTACTGGAGCTTAGTTTTTTTTTATTTTCTTGCTTCTTCCTCACTTTGGTTTAGGAGTTGTATTTAGACTTTTTCTTCTTTTTCTTATTATTGATATCATTTCTTTTTTTCTACTCTGATATTATCTCGTAGTAAAATTTCTAAAACCTTTCAAAGAAGTTTGACCAGAATATCTCAGTAAACCAGCAGATAGCTTTGTTCACTTTAGAAGTTGAATCTAGAAGATCTTTAGCCTCCGCTACTAAGCTTTTACTAGTGAGCCTCCATATATGGAGTTTTCTTTTTTGAAGCCTAGTTTCTATATTTGAACTTAAAAAAATTCTGTTAAGTATTTGGCTTCTTATTATAATTTCCTATTTAGAACTAAGCTATTACTCTAGCTTTTCTATTATAAACACTTCTATTTTTTTCTAAATCTTTTGATATATTTAGCATTCTGCTAAATGTTCTAATAACTCTGCCTTTGCATAGCAGGCAATGCAAGTTTTGGTTTTGTAAAGTGCAGAGTCCCTTTGATAATATATATCTTTTGTGAGTAAAAGTTTATTAATGTATTTGATTCTAAACATTAGTGCATTACTTTTCCTAATGCTTGTATATCTTTTACTCTGCTGCTTTTTTAGTGCACTCTATGTTTTGTTCTAGTTCAAATCAGAATTGCTTAAATCTGTTACTTTCTGATTTAGTACTAGTTTGATACTATTTAAGTTTTTCTATATATTCTTGTTTATTGTTGTTATAATTAGATTAATGAAAGATCTTAGTGCAGTGTCTATTATTTTCTCTTTCTATACTAAGAATACTCTTAGTTTACTCATTGTTACTTTTTGAGTCTTGAGTATATATATCTAAATCTCTTTCTTTTTTAACTATTCTAGCTAACTTACATAGTTCTACTTGTACCTTTCTATATTTTACTACTCTATGTATTACTGCCTCCTCTATATCTATGATACTAATTTTTATATCTCTAATATCTCTACTAGCTTCTATACTATCTAATTCTTTATCTCTCTTGCAAGCTAAAACTAGGATTTTCATATATAAGATCTCTTCGTTTATATAAATCT